AGTTAGTTAATAAGACCTCAAAGTTTTGTGATAAGATAACTACTGTTTTCCTGGGAATTTTTCCCTCCCCCAGGTTTCTATTGAAATTATTCTTAGTTTTCACCTAGTTATGCCCCCACAATGTGGGAGCATATAGCGTTGCACTTGTCCGTCCGTCCGTCAATCCGTTAGTCAGTCAGTCAGTCCGTCCGTCCGTCCGTACGTCCCGAAATCTTGTGAACGCAACTCCTCTTAAACCGGATGGCAGATTTTGCTTAAACTTACAGGGATGAACAACCTTAATGTGTAGATGGTAGTAAAGGAAGGAATTTTCGCTGCGACCAAATTTAACAGAATTATGGCCCTTTGTTGATTTTTTGACTAGACACTATGTAGAAATTTTGTGAACGCAACTCCTCTTTAACCTGATGGCAGATTTTGCTTAAACTTCCAGGGATGAACAACCTTAATGTGTAGATGGTAGTAAAGGAATGAATTTTTGCTGCGACCAAATTTTACAGAATTATGGCCCTTTGTTGATTTTTTCACTATATACTATGTAGAAATTTTGTGAATTCAAACTCCTCTTAAACCGGATGGCAGATTTTGCTTAAACTTCCAGGGATGAACAACCGTAATGTGTAGATGGCAGTAAAGGAAGGAATTTTTGCTGCAACCAAATTTAACAGAATTATGGCCCTTTGTTGATTTTTTCATTATATACTATGTAGAAATTTTGTGAACGCAACTCCTCTTAAACCGGATGGCAGATTTTGCTTAAACTTCCAGGGATTAACAACCTTAATGTGTATAGATGGTAGTAAAAAAAAATTAAAGGAAGGAATTTTTGCTGCGACCAAATTTAACAGAATTATAGCCCTTTGTTGATTTTTAGTTTTCAACTTGTGGCACATGTAGTCCAAAAAATATTTGACCTAGACTCATAAGATTGACAGAACAGTGGCGTGTGGGGGCATCCGTGTCCTATGGACACATTTCTAGTTTCTTTCTATCAAGCTGCTAGAAAGGCAGCCATTGAAAAACATTGTGTATAGCTAACATACTGGTATTCTTTTAAAGATGGCCTTTAAGTAGTTAGGTAATTATTTTGTTGTTGTTGTTGTTGATAATCTTGTGCTTTTATAATTTTGTCACATGATAACTTGAATTATTACTTAAAATACTAAAATCTTCAGTTGTTGTTTGTTGTTATTAAACCCTAAATCTGATGGCGGCAACAGATTTTAGCTGTGCGACCAGTGATTTTAGCCGTGCGACCAGTGATTTTAGCCGAGCGACCAGTGGTTTTAGCCGAGCAACCAGTGATTTTAGCCGTGCGACCAGTGATTTTAGCCGTGCAACCAGTGATTATAGCGACCAGTGCAGACCAACGTAACCGGGCACTTCAGTGTAGTCTGCTCATAATCTGCTCTGTTCTCTATTTAGTTGATACATATTCCTAAATATGGCCCTGAGGTCGCTCACCTGTATAGCCCCCCCCCCCCCCCCGGGCCAATTTTTACCCAAGTGCTTTTATTTGAACAGACTTGGTAGACACCCATAAGAAGATGTTTCATGCTAAACATCTAAGTTCTAGCTCATTGGGTTTTTTAAAAGAAGATTTTTTAAGTTTTTACTATACACATATAGTTAAAAACAATGACACCCCTGGGGCAGGGCCAGCTTTGACCCCAGGGCTTTTATTTGAACAAACTTTGTAGATATTTACTTAAAGATGTTTCATGCTTAATATCTAAACTCTAGCTATTTGGGTTTTTTCAAAGAAGATTTTTAAGTTTTTGCTATACACATATAAGGAAAATCATTGACCCCCGGGGCGGGGCCAGTTTTGACCCCAGGGCTTTCATTTGAACATACTTGGTAGACACCCATTAGAACATGTTTCATGCTAAATATCTTAGCTCTAGCTCTTTGGGTTTTTTCAAAGAAGATTTTTAAGTTTTTGCTATACACATATAAGGAAAATCAATGACCCCCTGGGGCAGGGCCAATTTTGACCCCAGGGCTTTTATTTGAACAAACTTAGTAGACACTCATAAGTCATTAGAAGATGTTTTATGTTAAATATCTAAGCTCTAGCTCTTTGGGTTCTTTAAAAGAAGATTTTTTAAGTTTTTACTATATGCATATAGGGAAAATCAATGACCCCATGGGGCGGGGCCAATTTTGACCCCGGGGCTTTTATTTGAACAAACTTGGTAGACATTCACTAGAAGATGTTTCATGCTAAATATCTAAGCTAGCTCTTACAGTTCTTTAAAAGAAGATTTTTTAAGTTTTTACTATATGCATATAGGGAAAATTAATGACCCCCCGGGGCGGGGCCAATTTTGACCCCAGGGCTTTTATTTGAACAAACTTGGTAGAAACTCACTAGAAGATGTTTCATGCCAAATATCTTAGCTCTAGCTCTTTGGGTTCTTTAAAAGAAGATTTTTTAAGTTTTTACTATATGCATATATGGAAAATCTATGACCCCCTGGGGCAGGGCCAATTTTGACCCCAGGGCTTTTATTTGAACAAACTTGGTAGACACTCACTAGAAGATGTTTCATGCCAAATATCTTAGCTCTAGCTCTTTGGGTTCTTTAGAAGAAGAATTCTTAAGTTTTTACTATATGCATATAGGGAAAATCAATGACCGCCTTGGGCGGGGCCAATTTTGACCCCTGGCCCCGTGTTCACTAACAAAAGATCAGGATCAGGATCAAGTGATCCTGATTTTATTTTCATTGTTTTATGTTACTAAAATTAATCATGCTTTCATAGAATTGAATGGTATATATTCAAAATGTAAAATATTGCTGATTTGCAAAGAAACCAAACTATTTTGGGATAAAATCAACAAAAAACAAAACAAATACAAAAATTTTCAGATCAAAATAAGGATCAATTTTAGGATCAGGATCAATATTTGGATCAACTGTAAAATGCAAAAATGACAATAAATTTATTCTAAAATTTCATAAACTTGCTATTGCAAGTCTAGTTTTATCAAATTAATATTAGATATTTAATCTTTGAGGACAAACAATGAAGAATATTAGAGTTTTTAAATTTGATCCTGATCTTGATCCTTAAATCTTTGTGAACACGGGGCCAGGGCTTTTATTTGAACAAACTTGGTAGACACTCATTAGAAGATGTTTCATGCTAAATATCTTAGCTCTAGCTCTTTGGGTTCTTTAAAAGAAGATTTTTTAAGTTTTTACTATATGCATATAGGGAAAATCAATGACCCCCTGGGGCAGGGCCACTTTTGACCCCAGGGCTTTTATTTGAACAAAATTGGTAGACATTCACTAGAAGATGTTTCATGCCAAATATCTAAGCTCTAGCTCTTACAGTTCTTTAAAAGAAGATTTTTAAGTTTTTACTATATGCATATATGGAAAATCTATGACCCCCTGGGGCAGGGCCAATTTTGACCCCAGGGCTTTTATTTGAACAAACTTGGTAGACACTCACTAGAAGATGTTTCATGCCAAATATCTTAGCTCTAGCTCTTACAGTTCTTTAAAAGAAGATTTTTTAAGTTTTTACTATATGCATATAGGGAAAATATATGACCCCCTGGGGCAGGGCCAATTTTGACCCCAGGGCTTTTATTTGAACAAACTTGGTAGACACTCACTAGAAGATGTTTCATGCCAAATATCTTAGCTCTAGCTCTTACAGTTCTTTAAAAGAAGATTTTTTAAGTTTTTACTATATGCATATAGGGAAAATCAATGACCCCCTGGGGCGGGGCCAATTTTGACCCCAGGGCTTTTATTTGAACAAACTTGGTAGACACTCATTAGAAGATGTTTCATGCCAAATATCTAAGCTCTAGCTCTTAGGGTTGTTTAAAAGAAGATATTTAAAGATTTTTCTTTCGGTTGCCATGGCAACCAGAGTTCTGCATGGAATTAAATTCTTTGAACAATTTTTAAAGGTGACCTCCAAAGGAACATTCCTGTGAAGTTTGGATGAAATTGGCTCAGTGGTTTATGAGGAGATGTCATTTAAAGCAAAAGTTTACGGACGGACGCCGGACGAAAAGCGATCACAAAAGCTCACCCTGTCACTTTGTGACAGGTGAGCTAAAAATGGACAAGTCCAAATTTTAAAGATACTGTATGTTGTCATTAAGGATGGGGTAGTGAGAAGTGTAACAACACTTGAGTGAAATTTTATATATGTATATAATTATTCTTCTACAACAACTTCCAAGAATATGTTAAATATGTACTGCAAATGTTTTTATGCATTATAAGTAATTAAAATGTATGCATTCATTTCGTATTGAAAAATTTGGCTTGACTTTATCGAAAATAAATTTCTAATTCCCATGAAATGTATATATGGTAATACCTTAAACAGAACTTACAATATTGATAAATCTTCATTTGAGCATCATATTTATGATATAAAGCCATAAAAAAATGAGATACAGGATTTTTATGACACTAAGTATGGTAAGGGGTATGGAATAAAACTGTCACAGCTATAAATGTTTAAGTACCGATTCGATCATAAAGATTAGTGTTCATATTGGTGATACCTTGAGTCTTGTTTTAGATCAACCAGGGGTAAAAAAGTAAGCATTCTAGAGATGTTAAAATCAATTCAGAATACTGGTTATTTTGGGTTTACAACTTTGGTCAATGGTAGCTGAATCAAAGGAATTTCTTGGTTTATTTTTTGTCATTAATTTATATTTACCCTCAATTGAATTAGAGGAAAAAAAAGTTTTCACTCAGGTGGTCATATTATTGAAAAGAAATTATGTGATTATTCATTTTAAGTTTTTGTGGACTCCAAAGTACTCTAGTTTTTGTGATGTCTGATGCGGCTTAGGTTATATTCTGGCCCTTAACCTGTCAAAAATGTTTTGAACTTAATAATATACCTGGTAAAAATGCTCACCCATATGGAATTTTTTCTCAAGGAAAGGTAAACACGCACACATACACACCTTGTAATAGCTAGAAACAATGAAACAACTAAAGTCTATGTAAGGAATTATTTTTTTATTTATAGAAAATCAGTATAAAGTATTTAATGACATGGCATTGATTATATACATTTTCTAAATACAAAAATACACGAGTACTATGATGCAATTCTTTGTAGGATTTACTGTATTGTGCAAAATGCTAATAATTATAATTCTAAGCACTGTACATATTCCAAATTATGTACAATTGCTACAAAATTGGGGGAATTAACTTTCTGAAAGCTTGCGGAAGGCAAATAATTCTAAGCAGTGATATTGTGAACATTTCAGAATTATTTACAATTGATTAAAAAAAGAAAAAGAAAAAAGAAATCTTACTTAAAGTTTCAGCAACTGTTTCAGATAATGCTAAATTAATTTCTGGATTACAGTTCCTATCTCAAAGAAAATTTTTTTGTATTGAAATCTTATTTTTTTTAATCCAATGTTAAAACATTTATGGATGGAGTCACGATTATTATAACAATGACTATGCTAGAATAAAATTCTGAGTATATGTACAAGTAAATGAAAAACTTAAGAAATGATAAATGTTTGATGCAGAATGGTTTGGAATGTAATATGTACATGATGAATAATTAATATACAATATAGTTTATGTACAATTATAAAACATATAATGTATAAAAACTGATATGAGCCGTGTCATGACAAAACCAACATAACGAGTTTGCGACCAGCATGGATCCAGACCAGCCTGCGCATCTCCGCAGTCTGATCAGGATCCATGCTGTTCACCTTACAAACCCTATAACAAGTAGAGAAACTGATAGCGAACAGCATGGATCCTGATCAGACTGCACGGATGCGCAGGCTGGTCTGGATCCATGCTGGTCGCAAACCCATTATGTTGGTTTTGTCATGACGCGGCTTATATGTGTCTAAGCATTTCAGAGATGATCTCTGCAGATCTTAAAACTTGTTATGATAGCAAACAACCTTTGCAAAGTTAACCAACCAAGTAACCTCAAAGTATGACTCTCCTCAGATATTTCTTGAAATAACTCAAACTACTGTCAGGCCAGATGCAGGCAAAATGTTCAGAAAATATGGAATGTAATAATCAAATTTAAAGGATTGTGGAAAATCTAAGTCTCCAGATGTATAAGAAATGCACTATATAGGTTTACCTTATATTTGTTTTTCTTGACAAGTCAAATATTTCTTGGTCCCAGTCTGTGCAGCAATCTAACACAATATATCCATTTTAATCTAGATCAAAAACTCTTTTTTTTTGTATTAACTTAAAGCCAGGGTTTTATCTAATCCAGTCTCCAAATGCATAAATTCTTCTATGGGTTATTTAAATCTTTACGAAATGAGAACTTGTTTAAATAATCAAGATTTTTCTGACACTTGCATACCTAATTTACAACTATTGACGCTAAATGTCAATTTCTTTGTTTTGGATAAGTGCCCGTTTGGAACTGTTTTCAGTAAATACAATAGCCTGGAATAATCAGTAGAAGTTTTTCTTAATTTTGAACGATAATGTTGCATGATGTTTGCCAGTTGCTGCTACATCTTGCCATTTTTTAAAAACTTTTCTTAGACAATCTTATTACAGCAACTGTGTCGCAGATTGCAAAAAAAACCCACAAACATAATACAGAACCTGATCAACATATACAGACTTACTGAAACAAACACTCTAATCTATTTTGAGCTTTTTAAATTGAAGAAAATCTCAGGTGCTCCTCTGTGCATTATTTCATGCACAAGTGTGCACCGGAGTAGAACCACCAATTATCTGTCACAGACAGCTGGTACAACAACAATCAAGAAAATAACTCACAAAGTGGACATAATAATGTACAGAAAGTGTACTCCATGCTCCAATGTCCCTGCATAGCACACTAGTCACCATCACAAACAATGGAATGTTAAATAAATTGTATAGAACTCGTACTTGGTATAAAAATATCTATGATTTACATATATCACAAGTTCATTTACAGATATGTACATAAATGGTTTCATTAGAAACTGTATAAAACATGTTAAAAATAAAATAGTTTGTGTTCATTATGAATGGATCCATTTTGAATATATTGCTGTAGCCATGGCAACAATGAGCACAGATAATGTAGGTAGCTGGATCCCTGCTTTATTCAATACCCATAATGTGATAGGTTTGCTGTAAGGATTTGCGCCGGGATCAAATCTCTGAGGACAATCATCAACTGAAAAACAGCAGTAAAAACAAATGACATTCTGATAAATTGCGCATTTGTTACATGGACTTTTGTTGTTTAATCTTAATGGATACAGGTTTGCTTCAAAATCATTAATATATATATTTTGTTCTTATTGTGCAGAGCTGTAAGTTTGTAAAAAAGAAATTTTGATAGGTTTATTCCATATAAGTTTGCAACCAGTTATACTGAGCCATTTAAACTTTCAAAGGTCTCTACTTATTACTAATTATACACCAGACAGAAAAAAGTGATTTTTTTCCTTTAAATCTTATACTTTTTATTTACATGTGTTAAAAGATCATGAATATTTCTTGCTAGTTTAGCTTGAGAAGATCAGGGGCACTTTAGTGTCATAAAATTCCTTTGTTAGCTCTTGTTTCACACATGGAAATCCAGGAATTAAAACAACTAAATATTGTACATTATATGACAAAACAAGAACACAAATGCCCCCGGCTCAGATTCTTGTCAGTAGCAATATTTAAAAAAATGTTTACCCATTCACTCAGTTATGGACAGAAAAATTGCAAAAAAAATTGTAAACACAAGTTATATAGCTAGACAAAGTCATGGCATTTTGTAATTGTGAAAAATATAAGTTGCCAAGTCATTGCTCTGACTTGTGAAGTTGAAAATTTTTCAACTTCATGCAAGTTATCTTCCTACCAAATATGAAATACATCTGTCATTAAATAAAGGCTGTATGGGCAAAAGTGTAAAAATCTATTTTGAGCACTGGTGACCTTAACCAAACTAACCCCTAACTCTATCCAAAAGAAGAATACCATGTAAGTTATCTTCCTACCAAATATGAAATACATCTGTCAATAAATAAAGGCTGTATGGGCAAAAGTGTAAAAATCTATTTTTAGCACTGGTGACCTTGACCCAACTGACTCCTTACTCCATCCAAAGGAAGAATACCATGCAAGTTATCTTCCTACCAAATATGAAATACATCTGTCAATAAATAAAAGCTGTATGGGCAAAAGTGTAAAAATCTATTTTTAGCACAAGTGACCTTGACCCACTGATCCCTACCCCTATCAAAAGGATGAATACCATGCAAGTTATCTTCCTACCAAATATAAAATATATCTGTCACTTAATAAAGGCTGTATGAGCAAATGTGTAAAAATCAATTTTTAGCACTGGTGACCTTGACCCAACTGACCACTAACTCTATCAAAGTTTATGTTTCTATCAATTATAAATAACATCTGTCTATAGAATAAGGTCAATACACCTGTAAAAATGTAAAAATCTATTTTTAACATTGGTGACCTTGACATCGGTAACATTGACCTTGACCCAAATGACCCCTTACTACACCCAAAGAAGGAGGACCTCACTTGGCATGTTTTGTATTAAACTAAGACATCAACTAAAAATATAAAGGCTGTATGAGCAAAAAATGTTTATATTTATTTTTTTTAAACCAGTTGACCTTGAACCCTAGAGACCGCTTACTCCACAAAAAATTAGAGGACAATCAAGGTATCCACCTACTAAATATGAAAGATATCATTAAAGAAATTAAGCAATTAGGAGAAAATTTAAGATAAATCCAACTTGCTGAAATAGGTTAACCAGACAAGGCCCTATTTTCAAAGTGAAAAAAGGGAAATAACTGGGAAATATGGATGACACAGTTATATTAACTTGGCAATATCATGTACTTTGTATTGATAAGTAAGTGTGGAAATTTTAAAGCCATTAGTATAGATAGAAACTTAAGATATTTCCAACTTGCCGTTTTAGGTTAACCATTATTCATTTTCTAAGTGCTGAAAAAGGGCAATAACTTGGTAAATATGAAAGCCAGAGTTATGTAACTTGCCCAGATCATGTACTTTGTATTGATTAGTAAGTGTGTAAACTTAGAAGCCATTGGTACAGGTAGAACTTAAGAAAAATCCAACTTGCCGTTCTAGGTTAATCTCGTACGGACAGACGGACGGTTCAATCACTATATGCCCGGGGGCATAAAAAAATATTACCAAAGAAATGAAATGTAAGTGAAACGGTAGTGTTTTTGATCAAAAACAAAAAAAAATCATCACAAATTTGTATGTATTTGTAATTTAACACAAGCTAATACATGTACATCAAAACATATGCTATATTAAAGAGAGTGGTAGCATGGCAGGTGGTAAACACATTGGTCTATCTACGGATTGCTGGCAGTCTGGGTGCGAACCCCATCACGGACACGTTTTTGTTTCATGAGCATGAAACTTGACACTCATTGCTTACTACTGGTTGGTTCCAGGAATGGATTGGAGAGGGCTTTAATAAGCTTATATGTTCAGCCACAATTAAACATAAAACAAATAATTTGTATCAATCAACATAGACTTACATAATCGTTCACTCTCAGTCAGATCTAAAGCAAGACCCGTGCCTGGTATCATCGCTGATTTAGCACTCTGTTCCCTCGGACATCGGGCATTCTGAGCCCTCGACATGTACACCCCTGTCCAGCTTTTCCTCTCATACACCTAAAATATCAAATTTAATCAAGAATTCAATATACAACTATTCAATAGGAAAAATTTACTTTAAAACAATCATGCATGTATTTCCGCTTCACAGTACATGTATCAGACATGGGGCGATTACTTGACAATTGTAATTGATTAAATTATGATTATTTGTCAAAATGCTTGATTAAATTAAATTACTGATTACTCAATTTTGACATTGTAATTGATTAAATTACTGATTACTGATAGGAGTAATCAGATTACATTTATGATTACTGATTACATGTACATAAGTTAAGAAATGCAATGGTTCAACACTATTGTTTTATTGAACATTTCAATACAACAAATGTACTAAAAAAATAATCCAGCTTAGTTTTACAGTAATTAATTCAGTCTACATATATACATGTGTTGCCTTCCTATTTACTAAGCTATATTCTCATATTACATTTAATGTTCATTAGTTTTTCAAATGTATTTGGTTTCAGGAGGCACCTCGTAGGAGTAAAGATTTACCAGCAATACCAAAATTTAACAGAAAATGTAGCAGAAAATAGGCCTATGGGTCACCTTAACAAACAGTGTAAAATGCACGTGAATATATACAAATGGACAATTGAAATAATAAGAGTCTGTGTAACATAATTACATTATAACAGCTGTTTAGAGGCAAAATTAACATTTAAACATAAATAACAAATGACTACTTTAAAAATTAGGAATAATGGTTCTGCATTACACTAAACTTGTATAGACTCAGTATAAACGCTTATTATCATAAGAGTTGTCGTGATACTGTAACATTTAAAATTTGTCATAGCTGTTTCTCAAATTACAATATATCCGTATTATAAATTAAATAAAAGTTAATAAAAATGACCTTTTTCAAGAAAATTGTGGGTAATAATCGATGATGTGACATGAGGTTCATATATCATGTACACAGACAAAAAAAGGATGAAAATCTAAGGTATTTACTGATGAAAATCACGGCATACTAGTATATAACATACTACTTCTGATATAATAAGCATTAACAATAAATTTTGCACATTTTCTAGGGTGAGTTTGAACCAAGAAAACAAGTTTATCTTTGTTTGATTTGCGTATAAATTCATCACTGTTTAAAATGTTTCCAAATATAACAGATCTTGTGTTACTATACATGTACTTGCTCTTTACTGAACCTGTAAAGTCTTCTCAATAAGTGATAAAATACCTATTCAGGCCATTGTTATAATTTCACAGCTAAATTTAAGTGGTATAATTGTGACAATCATTTATGTATTGGGTCAATCTGTCAGTGATCTTTTCATCACCTTATTAAAACACAGGTGTCATCAAATCTCACCTGGGTGACTGCATTTAATTCACCTACACTACCTAAGACAATTAGAAGGCATTGACACTGGTACTTTTTTAACCTTTATATGTAAAATTATGATTACTGATTACTGTGATTACAAAAAAAATTGTAATCGATTAAAATAAATTAAATTACCGATTACGATTACCCCATGTCTGACATGTATCTAAAGCTCTATACTAGTAGACAGTAACTGTTAAATTCTTTACATAGAATATTTCAAAATTAGTTTAGTATTTTAATATTTCATTAAGAAATGTGGTTAGAATTAAAAGAATAATGAAACAAAAAAAAATATAAACAACAACTGTTGAAGAAACCATAGCTTCATAGGTAATATTATAAAAGATGTCATAATTGTTTTGGCAGGAACTCTCTTTACTGGTAATGAATAAGAACTGTCAAGATGTGTTATAAAAAATCTGCTCAATTCCCATCTTCTAAAACGTTTATGTTATACACAACCTGCAACATTGTATCCACTAAACTTTATGGAGCCAACAGTAAACATGGGGAGAAACAAACCACTTACCCAGCATCTAAAAGCTGAGATAGCATCTTCCTCGTCCCAGGTAACAAGGTATGACTTCATATCCTCCATCCAGAAACCAACACATGTTAGAGTATTGTCAGGCTCATCTATACATTAAATAAAAAATCTCTTTATCTTGGCAGTTTGAAATACAAATAATGAAAAATCATGTGTTTTTCTTAATAAAAATTCATCTTTCTTAACCAGTTTTCCATATCACTAATATAGCTTTATTTGTATTTTCAGACATTCACAATAAGAATGTAAATCATTTGTCAAAATTAAGGAGGAATATTTGACACTATAAAGGTAATTCACCAAATTCTAACTTTACTATCGCAGAAAGTTTGAAGATCAAATGCTCCACTTCCAATAATTACTTTTGGCTAAATACAGGTACAGATAAACAGCTGAAAGGTTTCAATTAATGACGAAAGTAAACCATTTTTGGGATCACATTCTCATAGAAAGTGATAACTGACAAATGGCAAAAATCCTAGGAATAATGCTCAAAAATAGAGGCTTAATGCACCTTCTCTGTGTATTAATATCTGCAGAGGCATGTCAACATGTCTACAGGTCGAGCCAAACACTGTGTAAGCAGACAAAGACTTTATCAATCATGATCAAATAAACTTACCATATTCTCCTATTGGTCTACCCCTGTAGTCTACGGATTCACAATACTCTGCGTCGACCTCAATCCTCGTCATCGTGTTACTGCAAGACTTGAACTCTGTGACCCAGTTCCTGCAGGCAACCTGTACACGAGGCTTGTCAGTAACACCACGAATACGTGTCTGGAACTTTTCTAAAGGTGACCTCACTGTTTGTGAGAATGTGTAACGTCCAGCAATAGGACAGGCTACAGGTGATGGTGGATTTTCTACAAAAAAAGAAGGAGTTTTTTTTTTAATTCATATTGAATCTGAGCGACTTAAAAAATTTTAAAATTCATAGAATTGATAAATTACTATACTCTCACCAAAAACAAAGATTTGACTTTTTAAAACAAAATAGATCTTTTAGAAATGGTCATCCGGTTGAGCACAAAGCAAAACATGTAAAATGCATGGTGGTTTGTTTGTATGTTTGTTTGTTTGTTTCATTTTACACCTTTTCCCAACAGTATTTCAGTCATATAGGCGGGTAGTTTCCTATATGTTTTTGGAAAGATACACCAGTACTAGACTACCTTCCTCCAAGCTAAACTACCAAAGCATTACCCGGGAATCGAACCCATGCCAGAGAGGTAACTGGATTAGAAGTCATCAACTCTAACCCCTCGACCACAGAGGCAGTTATGCATGGTGGTGAACTAGGAATAAAACAGCTATTTGTCATGTAAAGTTAAATCATTTTTTTTGTATCTGGTAGTGAACGAACTTGTTTCAAAATCACTGTTTTACTTATTCACCACATAATTTAGCCCCTAAATCCCACTGCAATAATATCAAGAGAGAACAGATTGGCCATCAAGTAAAAAGTTAAATCTTCACATATTCCCAACACTAGTAAAATCTTCAGATATTCCCAACACAAGTAAAATCTTTATAGATTTCCAACACAAGTAAATATTTATATATTCCCAACACAAGTAAAATCTTTATATATTCCCAACATTATTAAATTTTTTATATATTCCTAAATAATACTGAACATTATGAGATTACAAACAGTAAAGCTTACGTATCATTGTCTCGTAGTTCCATTCATACTCATCTCTGTTGAACGTAAATGCTGTCCAACTGCAGGCCTCTCGAAATATCTCTCGTAGCTTTCTCTTTGGGTCATCCACTTCTTCATTAGTAGTGGAACTGGTCTGTTTATACTGGTAGGGTTTACCTTAAATTGTCAAAAGGTATATGATTTATATATCACAAAACATCACTTGATTTCAATGTAATGTAAACATAACTATCACAAACTATCACACACTTTTCAGGACTTTTTTTTCAAAAGAACAGAAGCCTGTAAAGGCCCTTTCACAATTTGGAAAAGGTCCTTCACAATTCTGTTATTCCAGTTTCACAACTGTAAGTAAATGCCACTTTCATTTATAATAAAAAATGTCTTTGATTTCTGCCATACGAAAAAAGTATTACATAGTACAACAAAATTTCAAATTATATTATGTAGTGTCACCTTTAAGAGCCTAGTATTCCAATTTATTTACAAATAATTGTAATCAGAGCTATGTAAACATTTTATGGCAAATTATATATTTCTTGTACAAGTATTTATTTCTATGGAAGATGTTGCGACCACGAGTTTAAAGCGAAAGAAATTTAAGTAAATCTGTCTGTTTGTGTGTGTTAATTTAAATGTGATCTTGTTTTCCTAATGTATTGCAAATTGCAATAAGAAATAAAGTATGCAGAAATACAAGACACCCTTAACCTCAAAAACACCCCAGATATAGTCAGTACTGAATAAGGTATGTATGTCAAAAGCCTAACTCTGGAATTAAGAATATTTGGGATTTTTTCCAGCTTATCCCTAGAAACAAACTTGTACAGTTACAGTTTTGAAAGTTAGATTTGTTTGTTTGTTTGTTTTATATTACACCTTTTCCCAACAGTATTTCAGTCATATAGGCGGGTAGTTTCCTAACCATCGTTCCTGGAGAGTTACACCAGTACTAGACTACCTTCCTCCAAGCTAAACTACCAAAGCATCTCCCGGGGATTGAACCCACGCCAGAGAGGTAACTGGTTAGAAGTCATCAACTAACCCCTCGACCACGGAGGTGGTCTTTTGAAAGTTAGAGAATAAGCTCAACAGCTTGACTACTCTATTGTGATTGGTGAAATTATAATGGTAAAAGTTTTTTGTAACTTCAAATTAGCTGGCAAAAAAAACCCACATTTGCTAAGTTTCGGATAACATGTATTCATATACTGTTAAGTTATATACCAGAATGTCTCACTACTTACCCACTCTGAACTTAACAATACTGTGATGACGTGCTACAATGTCAAAGCATGTAAAGTCCACCTCACTGAAATGTACAATAAAAACAGTTCTGGGATTTTTGGCTTATTCTATAGCCGTTATTGGGTTATATTCCCAACTGAAAATAGTATATTATTTTTCCAATCCACAAGATAAAATTTCCAATTGAAAATTACAAAATAAAAAAACTAAAAAATTCTAAAATCTTTGAAAATAAGGGCTTCTTCAATGTTATAATGCTTAAATGTTTGAAGATGCCATCCTAGACAGTAATTGTTTGCATTCATTTAAATTCAAAATCTTTTATCTGCAGCACTATCATAATTAGTCATTACTACAATGACAAGTTTATCAAACAAGTAGTGGATTTCCAGTTCACTCCTGGCAAGTGTAACATTGTATGGTGGTAAGTGCCTTTCATCAATCTCACATCAAAATATGACCAAACTCACCATTTTCCTACAACAACTTTGGTCATAAGATGTCTGGTTCCCTGCGACTGCTGGCAGGAATAATACGTCTCCTGGTACTCAAACTCATTCTTTGGGGTGAAGAAATAGATATGAGTATCGTTGACCTTGATATTAGACTGATACTGTACTCCTTGTGTAAGCCAGGTACCGGTAAGGTTACGAGGTAAGCTACACTGTGGTGTGAGATAAGTTGTGGCTGGAGGGACTGAAAGAAAAATTCATACAAGAATATAAATAATGCAAGCAAATTCTCCATTTATCACCAGTTGCCATACCCTTGCATATACCTGAAAATATTATCGGCATTTTTTTTGCCTTGAAGTGCCCCTATTTGTAAAACAGGTATACAGACTGTTCAGATTGGTAAAAGAAATTTATATAACCACTTTTATATTAGTTAACAAGACCAAAATCTTACATGTAAGTTTACAACTTCATAAATTAAATGCTTCATGCTATGATGTATTAAAAACAAACTTAAAAGCCTTTTATGCCTCAGAACTGTTTTAATTAATCTCTCTAAAGCTTTTTAATTTTGGTGTAACGTTACACACTGGTCAATTGCCTGAACCATTATTTTCATATGTTCCTTATGGGCAGTAAGTGCTGTTATAGTGAATAAGTATTCAGTATGGAAGTCAAAATACTACTTTGTTTACATTTTGCTACTTTTATGACAAATTATTTCACATTTATTGCTACTTTCTTCAGGTAACATGCATCTCAAGTTCTCTATACCCATTATTTAAACATTTTTAAATTCATGTTTGAATTTATTAGGAAGTAAAAATTGATTTGTTTCTGAGGCATAATGTGCCTTTAAATTAAGCTAATAACCATCATTACCAGCACTTTGTGCCAAGTAAAGATTCAAACTCAAAGAAGACAGGTCGGCACATTCTAACCATCATCAGACCCCTTTACCTATGAATCATTATACCGTAAGTATACAAACATACTTTATTACCAAAACTTAAACATGCTCTGCATGTAATTTTGTTTGACGATTTAATCTTTTCGATAGAAAAAAAACTTACTTCTTGTTAACACCAGTCTTACAGGACCATCATAGATACTATTCAATTTTCTACAGTCTGCAAATCGTGACATCACCCAGCGGACTTTATTGAATGCTTCTTTCTGGTTCTTGTTTGTCATCTGAAAGACAAAACATTGAGCTTTTATTTTCATCACTGGAAATGAAAGTGACTTTAGCCTTTGCCACCAGTATAGATTTAGGCCAGCCTGCACCTCAGTGTAGTCTTTCCAGGCTCTATACTGTTGGTTAACTAACTTCAAAATTTCATCCTGATATCTAAAAAAATTGATAATGGACAGTTCCAACAAGTTCAGTATTTAAGGAAACAGTAAATTACTTGAATTCATTTTCCACTTAGCTGTAATGTACGAGCATGTAGAAAAATAGAGATGAAATTTAAAAGAAGAAATTGAACTAAAACTTCCAATAAAATTAGAATTTTTTATTCAGGTACATAAAAATTTACTTTATACACTGTACTAAAATCGTGACGGCTAATTAAGCATTTTAGATACTGAAATACTTAATATGCAATTAGTTCAGTAGGAAAAGAAAAGGCATTGCAAATACACTTGCTTTTTTTTCCCAAACATATGATCTACTGAAACACGCCTTTACAGGCAACATCTATATGGACTGAGGATATTTTTGATGCTACTTAATCAGAATTTGGATTTTGAATTTCTGATGAAGGAACATCTGTAGCTTCAAAGTTAAGGTTACTGACTATTTGCCACTTACTGCTGTGGGTTAAAATCCCCTCAAAGAAAATTTGAATTTTCTCATGTGAGGAAACTATTTAGCTTCCTAAAGGAGCATCAGTGGTTCTCCTCTAGTGCCTGTTTGTGCCTGAAATAATGCACCTAGGGGCTTCTGAGGCCTTCCTTCACCAGTAAAGCTAGAAAGTCATCATTTGACCTTTTGTTTGTTTCATTTTACGCCTTTTCCCAACAGTATTTCAGTCACATAGTTTCCTAACCATCGTTTCTGGAGAGTAACACCAGTACTAGACTACCTTCCTCCACGCTAAACTACCAAAGCATCTCCTGGGGATCAAACCCGCGCCAGAGAGGTAACTGGATTAGAAGTCATCGACTCTACCCCCTCGACCACGGAGGCCGTTAGTTTGTGGCTTAAAACCCAACTGATCAATATAACAAGTCTTAAATGAAGATATAATCTTAAGAATAAATTCTAGGAATTAACAAAGTTTGAACTAATTAATGACTTACCAAACATTTAAATTTCTCTCTTTGATCATTTTCAACAGTGTCTGCTATTACAGCATATGTGTAGCCAATTTCATTTGGGTATTTTCCTCTCATCACAAACCAGGTGCCAAAACACTGGTATCTTATCACTGCAGGTAAAAGCAAACAATTAGACAACTAAACAATGTGTGTACAATATTTACGGGCCTCCATTACCAAGAAGCCTGGAATTACTTAACGCTAACAAGTATGCCAGTTTAAATCCATTAAGGTGTTGAATAAACATAGCCATCTAACAGTTATATGTGTTTCATGTATGAAATACACCAAGAGAGAAACTGGAGGTCTCATTTCACCAGTAAAGCTAATGTTTAAACTGAAGCAATTTCACTTGCAGGATATTTGTTAACATCCCTAAGATGAGTTGAAAAAGTGACAAATATTTTGTACCAGTAAGCATTCATCTATTGTCCATAGCAAAACTGTACAAGCAAGGCAAGCCAGTAACTTAACAATTTTCGATGTAATGTGCGAGTTTTTTTTAACCAGCCCAAGAGAAAATCTGCAAGTTTTTTACTGTAAGGTTGTTACTTATTATTTCAACCACTGTAACACTGAAAAAATTCTTACAGTGTTGTACTGCAGTGCAGAGTAAATGATGGCTAAAGACTTGACAATAAAAATCTGAACATCAAAACATATCGTTTTCCCAGTGTGACCACGGGTCAGATTACCTGTCCCATTCCCAACGGAAAATCTTGAAATCAATTTCCCAATTAAACTGAAATTCCTGATCATCCAAGCTGACAAATTTGCTGAAGTTAATACCTGTATCTAACAAACATGTTTTGCTGAAGTTTATACCTGTATCTAACAAACATGTTTTATTTATACTTTGCCTCAAGAGCCTGAAAGTAGGTTTCAAAAGGTGCCAAATATATTTCCCATTTAAGCAATTTCTGGGGCAAAATTTCCCAAACTGTGTAAGGTAATTTTTCCCAAAAATGGCTGTCAAAACATGTCCTTTTCAAATCATGTATTTATGTTTATTACAAATAATTAGCATAGTTACAACTTACTTTTGTTTTGTGAAGTTGACACGTCTCTACATCTTGAATATCTCATACGAAACACTTGGTTATCAATGTATGATGATCCAGGGTCCTGACAAGCTTGAATCTGACTGTCTGGATTGTCACAAATACCACCACCACCATAGTTAACCTCATATGTAAACTGGAACACTCCCTCAAATGTTGATATACAGTTAATATTAACTGTATCAGTGCGTTCTGTAAAGACATAAAAATAATAAAGAGCCTAAGGGATTGAAAATTCCATTGGTACAATCATAATTACACATAGAATCTGAGAGAATTTGATGCAGGATGAGTAGAAAAATGTTGCCTGCAAATAGGATTTAGCAGTCATTAATCCTGCATGATGAATAACTGTGAAAATATTTTTCGATGCCTGTAAAACTCAACATTAAAGGTTATACTCTTTCGTTCAATTAGATTATAAAATTTTACATTCCTGACTCAGCTTTCAATATGTTATGTACAATTTTACGTTAAACTTTAGCTCTAGTATAATATCAGAAAGAGACATATTGTAATATTTTCAGCTTATATTGTCCCACAGCTTCTGCTCTTCCTAAATAAGTCCAATTTTCACTAGAATAATTGATTACTTATCAGGGTTGGCCCTGTTTTCTGCTTCAAACAATTTTCTATTTATGATAAAAAATTTTTTTTACTTACAGCAATACTTTTTTATACATTTTTATATTTAATACTACCAGACATGTATTCTAAAATGGCAAATTGATTTATTATCTCTGATTACATTTACCACTTTTTTAATTAAGCTTTAAAATAAGACACTGAAAGTGGGAAGTAGGGTAAAGTTTTGCAACTTTGATATGAATGCTATATACTAGTAACTGCATAAATATAACGATCCACAAAAACACTCTCTATCATCATTAAATAGCACTTACTAAACATGGTGATCGTACTGTCCACTGAAGGCAGCTCATTGGTCACACCTTCACACGAAGTGTTCACGTGAATTGACGATGTCAAGAATGACCCTGAGTCTTTCAAACAATCACCTGAAATAGCAAAAAATCACAAAACTATTAACTACATTACTTTCTGAAGCATGCAAATGTACGGCTTTTACATCACCAACCAACACTGTAGCTATGGTAGTTTTCATTTGCTTTTCAAGCTCCAAAATGCCAAATGTGGAGTGGATTTTAAGTAAAAAATGTCAGGAAAACATAAAATATTTAAATGGTATATATTAAACATGCAATTTCAAAACTGAGTTACTACCCAAAATTCTAAGGACCCCGAAACATAAGCAAAAAAAACCCTTAAGACTACCTCTTGTTTGCTTAAGATATAATTATAGGGATTGGCAATCTTATGGATATTTGGATTTTTTTGCTCATTTTTTCATACTTGTGGTACAAGATTGTTTATAAGAAAATCATTTCATTTTGATTGTAACTTCTTCCATGAAATAATTTATTATATTCAATATATTGTCAGAATTAAAGCTGCACGCCTCCAGATGAGCCCAAAAAAGTTCAGAAATTCAATCTTTAGAAAAATATATTAATATCTTAAGAAAAGTAAAAAGTTTCAATATTCAATTAATTATTTACAATGTATGTGCGATTAATGACTGATTTTGCAGAATCAACAGCGTTACTAATTCAGTAAGATGCATTTATTTATATTTTGACCTCTTTTTTGGTAAATTACGTGGATTGTAAGTGCCGTTTGCAATGTGTAAATTAATTTTTTTTGTTCACTTCACAATTTTTTTTAAAATACATTTTCAAAATTTTCATGAAAATTAGCATGAATCTGGAGGCATGCTGCTTTAAGAATGTAACACCCCCCCTTCCCCCAACCATAAACAGATTCATTGCAGTGAGTCTCTTTTCATGTACAATAAAACAACTGAGTAACAGACATACCTTTCCTGAACTGTAAAACATTCTGAGTTCGCCATAGTACGTCTATACAATATAAGCAGTTGTTATTTCTAAAATATACAAAAATACATGTTTCAGAATTGGATAAAACAATAAAAGCCATTATTTCAAGACTCAGTTTATCATTATCAATGCACTTACTTAATATTCAAATGTATACACTTAATGATAACTGAAACTTTAGAAGATTAATTTGAAGAATTTAGCTAGCCTGAGTGGAAATGTCTGTCATATGGAAAACATTGTCATGCTCTGTATGGCTCCAATCTGTCTTTAACGAGTCGTGGTTACCAATTAAATAACAAGTTTACTGCAATAAATCAAATAAAAAATAGAAAGAGTGCTGTAATATTAATTGGAAATCCAAAACCCAACCTGTTATTTAATAAAGAAGTGGCTGATAATACATCCCGTACGAAAAAGATAGCAGGATTCCGCCTAATATTAGCAGGAAAACGCTTAAAATTTCCGTGTATATAAGATTTTCCTGCTAATTTAAGACGGACACGGAATTTTGTAAAAAATCCTGCTAAGCAATTTCATATTCCGCCTAAGGCTTAGGCGGAAAATATGGGATGAGCAATAATTTAGACGGGTTTTAGGACTTAGAATTTTGTCAGTTATTTGTTAACAGGAATTATGTACTTAGACTTTTTTGTTAACCAGAAATTGAACGTAGAAAATTTTACTAGACAGATTTCTGAATTTGGAGAAATTTCTGCAGATGACAGGTAAATGATAAATCGAATATTAAGTGATCAACAATTATTTTGCTGCTTTTATTCATTGTTGATTTTCAAAACTAAAATATTGTTGTGGAAACAAACTAAAATTTGTACAAACATAAATATATATAATCATTTATTGATAAAAAAAACTCTTAAAAGAAGATAATGATGTTGTGGTGACTGTTGCAGAGGATATATTTAATTTGTGTATGAACTAGACTCGTATATTAACCTCTTTAATCTGTGTGAAATTAAGGTTTCTAATATAATTTAATGATTAGTATCCCTGATAATTTCTTATCAACAGGATAAATAAATAAATACTGCCTCTAGTTACCACTCTACTATGATTTAACACCATAGATCTGATAACACACAGATCAGATAATGGTTTCCCGGTGTAAATTCTACTACAGTCCAGACTGTTCCATGTGATTTATTTGGGGGGAAGCAACAGTTACTTTGTACATTTTATATGATGAGTCTGTAAAGAAGGACTTTGCAAAGTTTTTTTTAAAGATATTTATTATGAATTTTGGATTCTTTTTCCATTTATTTTCTGGTATTTTTATATAATTGTGAAAATAAAACGATGGGTTGGATTATCCCTGTTTACCATCATATCATGGACTTGTCCATAATTTGAAATCTAGGAAATATGGGTCAGCAGAAGCTGAGACAGTGGAAAGAAAGCAAATAACAAAGGATTTTATTGATAGTTAAAAATTGTGGTGATAATATATAAGCAATTTTTGAGATAATATTTTGTTTAAAGTGTAAGGATTGAATATTTTTGAATTTTTCAAAGAAAAAAAAATAAGACTTAACCTTGTGAATGAAAATGACAATAATCTGGATATGCTCTGGATATGCTCAGTTGTAAATGAATTTTGAATGCTACATTATGACCTTGGATAAGAAGATAAATACCAATATCATAAAAATTCAGGTAAGTAACTTTTGGATACATTTAAACAATAAAAATATATTTCAAATAAATTAAATAATTTTGCATTAAGTTTGAGAGTAAATTTGTAACACTAAGTTTGGTTGTAATGAATTATAGTTTAAATGCATGTATAATTATAACTGCAAACAATGACAAGAAACAATAATATAAGATATTAGTGGTGGCAGTGTTTTACTGATGACTGTTTGTGTTTCAGGATATGTCTCAAGCTGGTGTAAAAAGAATGGGAGAGGAGGAGTCAAGGACAAGGATATTTAAAACGATGCCATAACTTAAAGCAGATCAGTTATGCTTGGAATAAAAATGAAAACAACTGGCTGAACAAAAAACATTTACAGTGAAATAAAATGAAATAATTTGCCATGGATTAAAACAATACAATAGCAGCGCAATAAAAAATATAACTCGTGTTTCTGTTTTTTGTGTGACTCTTTTACGTACTGTACATGCACCCTAATGTAGAATACATTATGGTAAAGCTCACAAAAATAACTTAAAAGCTTTGTAATTGTGATCACCTATTGTCTGTCTGCAATTTTGGATTCCAATTATTCTTATGCAGCTAAATAATAATGTTGTATCCATCCATAATTTAGCTTTATTAGTGTACTATCACAAAATTGAATAACTTCATTTCCTTAGGCGGATTTTTTGCTAGTATTCCTTAGGAAGAATTTTCTCCTGCTAGTGATTTTCTAAGTAGGTATTTTTTTCCTGGTTAAAATATTTTAGGCGGAATTTTTTCCGGCTAAGAATTTTCCTAAGGCGGAATTTTCTCCTGCTAGTGCTTTCCTTAAGCTGAATTTTTTCCTGGTTAAATTTTCTAAGGAGGATTTTTTTCCTGCTACCCTAACTGTTTTCCTCCTAAGAAAATTTGCATATTTCGCAGCGTATTCCTGCTTATAGGAGGAATCTGTGATATGTAAACCTGAAATGCCTTAGATGGATTACGCCTAGTAGCTAGGCGGAATTTCTGCTTTTTTCAGGGCGGAAGTTTTCGTACGGGATGTATCCGACACTTGAAAATGTTATGGAGGGACGTGCGACAAATTGGGATAAATGGCCATTTCTATTGTTATTTTCTTTTGTTTAATAGGGGGTTATTTGCCCCTTTCCTTTCTTGTTACAGGAGCAACTCTATTGTTCTCCTTTGTTCTGTTTATAGTTAGATAGCCCCCTATCCCTATTCAGTAGTGCAGACAGACAGACGGTCTGACAGAGGCCATCTTATAATCCCCTCTCCACTTAGCGGAAGGAAATTAAAAACAGTCATGTGATGTCCATTAACCGTGAAACATTTAAACAAATGATAACTCCACTTTAAGAGTTCAGCATGAAATAAATTTACTAAGCAACATTTAAAATATTTTAAAGAAATATGACCATCTTGTTGTTTTATTTTTGCATCATACAGCTACATGAACAGAACATGTAAGTATTAACAATTAGGGTATATTCTTGTAAACACTTACATGCTGCGGACAAGAAATGTGTGATTTGCACCCTCCGTTCCTGGCACAGGTTTTGGATGATCAAACTTTTCTTTACATTCCAAGTCTCCCCATTTCTTGTCATCTATGATAGTACTAACACTTTCACCATTTTCCATAGAAAAGTAGTTCCCTTTGATATATTTTGGGAATGTGCAGTCTTGGGATTCTGAAAAATTATAGATTTGCATATGTAAAATATGTATTTCTGTAGAAAACTAAGTAAAATATACCATATAGTTTATTTGAATACCGTGATGTCAAATTCATACCTTATCAAAACTTCCAAATTCAAAATCAAAGTTGTTGTATAATACAATTAATTATCTCAATTCTAAAATTCAGTTCATTATGTTAAAAAATTTGTCTCAGCTTAAATTACCAAGTCTAGCACTTTGAGAATATGAATTTTATAAACATGAAAAAGGGATTTATTCTCACAAAAGTGACAGTAACCAAATATATTTCTCTGTGTTATTTTATACCCGATATTCGGTCCAATTCCCAATTGAAAATAGTATAATTATTATTTTCCCAATCCAATGTTGCAACACCCTCTTTCGATTATGTGCAGCCTGATCATGCATTTTCAACAGCCTGTTGGAGGCAACTGTAATGTTGCTTTGAAGACAAAAATGAAGATCTGCGCCATGTATTTTAAAAATATATGTGATAACACCAATGCAAATAAGTACAGAAGTTACAGAACTAAGAGGGACTTCATATTAACATAAAGTCCTAGCCCTTCCAAAAGTCATCCTATATAGCTAGGATACACAGGTACATGAATGTGTTCAATACAGGTGTGTACTTCGGTAAAGTACGCACATGCTTACAACGCATAAAGCAAACACGCACTCTTAAAAACTACATTGTTACGAAATGAAAATAGTAAACAAGGTATGAAAGTTAGAGTTATATAAAATGTCATAAAATGAAGAATTCATGGTAATAAAAAATTGATAAACAGGAAATGACAAACTGAAATTTATCTACCGCTGTTATTGCAAGCAGCAACAGAAGAGATACTGATATTCAACGAGACGAATGTTAAACCAAACACAAAGTTTGTTTACCTGCATGGTTCATCAAAATTAAAACTGTAATAGCTTGAAATATTAAAACTAAATGCGCCATCCAGGTAGGCGCCATCTTTGATGTTTTCGAAGTAGATTACCTGTAAAAGTACGCATGCGCACAGGTGCGAATTAGTCATACGTAATAACTATTTACCTGTAAAATTTAGATCAATAGGCAATAAGCCACCAGCATTTTTCCGGTCCTTTATCATTTTCGTCCAGTACAGTTTAGGCGTCCATGTTAATTACTTCATTAATCAGAGACATTTGTTTTCTAGGGTCTATGCTAAACATAAACAGCATTAAAAAATAGTAGAGCGATTTTTTTTTGTAGTTTGCCTATTGTTTAAAGCTACATAAGAGAACTTGCAACTTTTAAAATTAAGTAACGCCCGAGAAAATCTAGTGCTAAACAACTGAGACCTCATTGTACGTAGGCTAAATAAATATATTTGCAGACGACTCGGAAAAGTTTGTTTGATAAAACCATCTTAACATACTGAATTATATTCAAAATAAAAAAAGGTCCGAGAAACTGATTTTTTGAATAAAAGTGAAAAAAGGTTTAATATTTCAGGCCTATATTCAAATTAAAAAGTAAATTTTAGAGCAACATTAAAAAATGGCAATGCTGGACAGGTACTAGTACCTAACTTTGTCCTGCCAAATTTTGTACTCTTCTGTACAAAGATTTTAAATTTTATTTGTTAAAAAGCGCGATTTGGGACCGGACATTGCCAGGAAACCAGTATTGTCCTTAATTTGGTGTATCTAAGCAGCAACCAATTCCATTGTCCCAGAGATGTTTTAATTTTTACGCACCCAGAAGTTCTTGCTTCCATAAAACTTAACTGTGTATGTCGCTTTAAAAATTATATGCGACAGTTCTTGTCTAGCAGTTCCTCAAAAAAAAGTTTGCCGAAGTCTCGTTAGCAATAGCATTAACAGGGAAAAGAAGAACAGGCATTCAGTTCATTGACTTGTCAATAAATCCGTTTGCTAGACATAAATTCTATTTGAAAGAGCCTGCATGAGTTCTTTTTGAAAAATCGAGATACATATAACACATATATGAATTATATATAATAGACGAATGCTGGATTGGTGTTTTAATTGTTCAGGAAAATATCAAACAATAATTTCACCATTATCAATGAATTATTTTGGACAAATAAATGAGCCAAATGCCGGTGTTTTTTTTTTGCCGGTGCACCTATACAAACCCGAAATTTCCAGCCATACACCTTAAATTAAGTGACGTTTAATCACCTCTATATTTAAAATTTATTCATATTTTAACAGGAAATCTACAACAATATATACCTCATTAAATTTGTATCCATTTATTTCGTGTGCAAGTATATAATTGCCAATGGCCAACTTTGAATAAACTTGACACTCTTTTATCGTCATATTTAATAAAACATAATATGTGCCCCAGCTAAATTTTTGTACTGGGTAAAGCACAAACGCATCTCTTGGCCTATTTTTTCTATACTGTATAACTTTTATCATTGTTGTTCCGGTCTTAACTTGAATTATTCAGAAAACTGCATACTAGTATTTCCAAATGTTATTTTCTCGTATGGCCATAATTAAGCTATGTAAGTTGAATATTACTGGTTTTTTTGGTTGTTGTTTTGCTTAATAGTTGTTTTTGCTTAATAATTAAATGTTTCATGTTTCGACTAATTTTGTTTCGGTGAATAAAATCGCTTAATGCAAGCTTATTTTAATTGAGTTGCATAGCAAATACCTTTGTGCTCCGATATACATACACGCTTACTGGTCAAAATATTTAAGTGTACGCTTGGTTTTGGTGCGATAAAATAACTGTACGCTGTTAAAGGTTCGATATTTTTTCATTATCACATCTGTTGTACATGTTTTCCTATGATTATACTAAGAGATCTACCATAATTATATGTGTCCGTTTCCGGATTTCTGAAGAAAAAAAAATCTTCTTTCCTTAAGGATTTACTTGAAATAAAAGTTTCGTATGCATCTATATAAGTGTTTGAACTTAACTTGAATAATTAATAATAATTATCCTGTGATAATAAGGAGTTGGAAAGAGTAACCTTTACTCTAAGATATTAGATAACTATATTTCTTGTCATCTCTCAATTTTTAACAACGTTCTTTAAGCTACTGTATCTTCATTCCAAAAATTGGTCGACCTTTTCAACAATCAGAGTCTTGATTTTTGTACTGTATCTTGTTTGTGATTAATTTTTCCTTTTGATCATGGAATTTGTGTTAAGTTTTTTTCTGTAGTCTAATTTATTACTAAAGAATCTGTGCAATTTAATTTTTTTTGTTTATTTTCCACTTCCGTTCATGATATGTCTGACATTTGATTTTGCACTTGATATTGATTAGGCAGTACTGTATTACTAGAAATTAAGTAGTTGAATACATTTCCGCGAAGGTTTGTATCCGCGAAAAGATGCATACATGTAACAAATCCTCGAACATTTGTAGCTTACGTTATCATCATGTCATTAAGAAGTACTATGATGAATAATTCCTAACTTTTACCTATAAGTATACTGTCTTGTCTTGCATGTATAGAGTGAACAAATATAGATACCTGAATATTGTGATATTAGTAATATATATTCTCTTTACCCCAGCGACTTAATATTCGCGAAAATCACTGTCACTATGTTTGCCGCAAAAACGCCATCCTTAAGAAAAACGCTAAATATTGTTTCCGCAAAAGTATTCTAGGAATACAGTATATTTATCATGTTTATCTTTTTACACATCATTACATTTACTCATCTTTTTTCTTTTCAGTGTCTAAAGATACTACGATATAAGAAAAAAAAACCTCATTTGAGACTTAATAAAAAATGTCAACGTAAAAGAAAACTTGCAACATCGCCATCACCATTCAAAGCGAAGAAACGAATCTGTAAATATAATTCACCTGCTAAGTCTTCAAATATTTCTCTCTCCAAACAAAAATGAAGTCAGTGTTAGAATTTGTCCTTCTCCGATGGTCATTCAATTTTTAATGACGTCTCCCAACAGTTACCGTTTCAGAAAAAACAAGAAACATGGCAATGCCACGAAACCAGGTTTTCAATTATCACCATTGTAGATAAATATGCTGTATTTGAAATACAAATACAAGCAACAAACAATGTAACTATGTGCAATGTAAAACATGAATAATGTAGGAGGAATTGCCACAGAAGAAGTGTTCACTATATATTCTGTATAAGGAAAAAAACAAAGGGCCATAATTAGGTCAAAAATTATCCAATCACAAAACCCCGACAATTTGCGCCAGGGCACTTGATGACAAAGATTCTTTGAAAGTTTGAACAAAATCCGTTGAGAAATGTAGGACGATTTCAGCACAGAAGAATTTGTTCACTATATATTGATAATTCTGTATAAGAAAAAAAACAAAGGGCCATAATTAGTTCAAATATTATCCAATCACAAAACCCCGACACTATGCGCCAGGGCACTTGATGACAAAGCTTCTGTGAAAGTTTGGTCAAAATCCATTGAGAAATGTAGAAGTTGCGCACGGTAGAAATTGTTCACTATATATTCTGTATAAGGAAAAAAAAAACAAAAGGCCATAATTAGGTCAAATATTATCCAATCACAAATACCCGACAATATGTGCCAGGGCACTTGATAACAAAGCTTCTGAGAAAGTTTGGTCAAAATCCGTTGAGAAGTGTAGGAGGAGTTGCGCACGAAAGAAATTGTTTACTATCTATTCTATATAAGGAAAACCTGGTTAAAAATCAGCAAAAGAAAACTTGCTTTTGAATCAGATAATTCAGGAGACAAAGAAAAAAAATGAATTGGAAGGAACAGTTGATCTCTTAAAATGTCTTGTTGAGAAAGGTGCTTTTTCAACTAACAATATTGCCTTCAAACTTTCCAAGATACATTAAAATGGCATTCGTGCAGCAATACAAATGGCATGAGATACTCGGATGAAGTAAAAGAATTCTTCTGGACCGGGAAAAGATTATTACACGGGGGAGGAAGTGTTACACGAAGGATGGAGTTCTTATGATAACTTGTTCAGGAGTTCTTGTGATAACTGTCACGGAGTTCGTCGGAAAACATATGTATATACTACAAAAACATTCGTCAAAAATGGTTATTTTCATAGTTCAAAATGAGTTTTAGGTGCTTAAATAAACTTTAATGATTAAGCTTGTTTTACATCTTGTATAATGTGTCAAAGCCTAATTCACAGGCCATTTTTTATCGCCTCTTGCTTCAAATCTGGTAGTTTTGAGTAAAATTTCTAAATTACTTGCCAATTCACAAGTTTTGACCGGTTTATTTCTGGTCTTCATCCTTGCCATACATAATTACCTTATTATAATGCAAAATTGCAAACATAAAGCACCGGTGATAGGCTATCATCTACAGTAAAAATTGAACCAGCGGCGACTGATATTCAGCAGTAAAATGACTTAAGGTATTAGCACCCTAATGCATTACCTCCGCTTTGAAGAGTATTCAAATAGGCTAGAATTACTGTTAACTACATTGAAAATGAGGGCCATGGGTTCAATCCCCAGAAGGGTCAACTTTTTTCTTTCTTTTTTTCTTTTAACATTATTTATGTATCTCTCATTCCCATATGGAAAGAAAAAAAATGTTTAATTTTAAATTTTTAATTTATATAGGTATTTATTGGCTAAATTATGCTAAATCTAGTAATAAATATGGTACCTGATATTTTCAAAGTGTAATATAATCAAAACTAGACGGTAAAAGTATTTCATATTTTACAAGATCAACCAATATACTGCTTTAAAAATTTAGGGAAACTTTGAAAACAGGCACTCATTTGGGTAAATTTTAAGAATTTTTTTATTTAGGCTCCTAAAGTAGAAAAATGGTCAGACATGAGGTAAAAATGGGTGGGGTAGGGTAACATTTTTATACAGATTTCATAAATTTTAAGTAGAAACCATAATTTTGCTTATGTGGATTGTTAGCTGAATGGTACTATTTGTTTCTTACCAAAAATTCATGGGAAAGCATTTTTCATTAGAATGTTATTGCAGATTATTTAAAGGTTCCTCATTTCTAAAAAAGGGCCCTCATAACATCCTAGCTTGAGTTCAGAAAAGTGGCCATAACTTGATTTCCGTACGGTAAAC